TCCTCCTTGACTCCACCTTCCCCTCTGTTGCTTTATTTCACTGAAACTTCATAGCAAAACTTCTTGAAAGAGTTGTCTATATTCTGTTGCTATTTCTCTTCCCATTCTATTTTGTACTCAAGCCAGTCAGATTTTTGCCTCCACAATTCCATTAAAACCATTCTTATCAAGTTACCTATCATGTCTATATCTCTCATTTCTCAATACTTACTTTACTTAACATTCAGGAGTAGAGTTGATCACTCCCTCTTCCTTAAAATGGCTTCCTCACTTGGCTTCTAAGATATTTGTCAAGAACTTTATATAAAGGATCTAAAATTTTACTCTTTTTGTAAATTAACAGATTAGTCTGCCATAGTTTTATGAATGGTGGTGGAAGACACAGGACTTCTGGATCAGAGAAAAAAAGACAGCTTATTACAGCAGTAGCAGTAGCCATAGTAGCAGTGTTTTTATACTGGTTCTGAGTGCACTTACCTTCTAGGCAATGTGAAGGGGATCACGTTACACCTGCACACATGGTAGGTAGTGATATTAGAAAGGAAACCTGTCTGAGAGAACCCAAAACATTTACAATGGGTTGTAAGCATGCCTTCTCTTTGTTCCAGAGGGAAACATTCATTATCCTTATTATACTGGACAGTGACACTTTGCTCCAGAAGTAGATACTACAAGTCTTCCAAGGCTGTTGCTATACATTCTTGAAAAGATAGTCCAGAACGATCACATCATATCATATCACTAACTGTCAAGTGAGTCATTGTCTCACTTGCAGTGTGTCCAGAAACACAAGACACCCATAGAGAACTGTCTCACAGTTCCTTCCTCTCTGGCTACTTCTTTGTCGTCTCTGTTAATTCTTCTTTACTTCCCCAAACTCTAGATCTGCACTGTGCAATATTGTAGCCACTAGCTACATGTCGCTATTTGATTAAAATTCCAGTTATTCAGTTGCAGTTGTCATATTTCAAGTACTCAGTAGCCACATGTGGATAGTGGCTACCTCTTGTGTGGCACAGATACATAAATGTTTCATCATCATAGGAAGTTCCATTAGACAGTGCTACTCTGCATGTTTGAATACCCCCGAGTTCAGCCTTCGCATGTTTCTTTTTGTATTCTTATTCAGAAATAAACACTTCTATAGAATCTTACAGAGTAAGATTTATCATAAAATAAATATTTCTATTTCTGTTTTTCCTCCCTTGGTGATCTCATCGAGTCTCAAGGCTTTAAAAATGACCCAAATTTGTGTCATTTGTGTCAGCCCAAATATCTCCCCTGAAGTCCAGACTCAATTCTCCAGCATCATTCTGTACATCTTTACCAGAATGTCTAATAGGCATGTCAAAAGTAACATTCAAAACTGAATCACTGACCTCCTTTGCCACCACCACTTCCTTGGCCACCAACAAATCTGTTCATCCTGCTGTCTTCCTGCTCTCAGTTCATATTAATTCTCTTATTCCAGCTCTTCAAGCAAAAAAAAACAAAACAAAAAAACCTTAAATTTATCCTTGACCTCCTTCTTTTCCACAAAATCCGCACATTTGTCCCATTGGCTCTTGTTTCAAAATATATCCAGAATCTAACTACTTTTCACCCTTCCCTTGCTACTGCCTGATTCAAACCAGCATCATCTTTTGCCTGGATTATTCCAGGCCAATTTGGTCTCCCCGTTTCCACTCTTGTTCCTGTAGTCTATTCTCATCACAGCAACCAGAATTATCTTATTAAAAATAATTCAGACCATGTCATATTTCTCTGTTCAGAATTCTTCAGTAGCTTCCCATCTCAGTCAAAGTCTGGTCACATGGCCATTCTCATTCTTGCTAAAACATTCAAGACATACTTCCACCTCAGAGTCTTTATAGTTGGTGTTTCTTCCATCTCCTTCCCCCCACTCCCAATATACCTCACACACGTACTTTTCCCCCCATGATGGCTGTCTGATTGAAGAGACCAGGCTAATTGTCTTAGAATGATCCATATCATAAATTTCTCCGTTTCCTCATGGTATTGTTTAACTTACTTGTCTATTGCCTGTTTTTCCTATAATCTGACATTAGATCTAAAAGATTGATTAAAGCTAAGTATTTTTGGCAAAAACACTCCATAAGTGATACTTTCATCTTCATATTGCATCATATCAAGAGGTATTGTACATATTATTTAATTGTCCCACCATTAGTGATGCTAAATTTAACTAAGGCGTTAAGGTGGTGACTTTCTTATCCTTCATTGTAAAATTACATGTTTACCTTTGTGATTAACAAATAAACTGAAGGGTGAATGATATTTTTTTAAAATCCTGTGATTTTTAAGAATAATTGTTTAGATGTGGAACTCTGTTTTTCCAAATAAAAATATTTTTGGAGACCTAATATATAAAACAGATAAAAGCAGAGTTATTCTGGTCACAGTGGGAAATGCCTAGTATTGGCAGCTTCCAGGGGAACTCTGACAAGCACAGTTTGTAACTCACAGAGCCAGGCCAAAGGACAGAGGCCCAGAGAGGATACATGAAGTCTTCAAGGCCACCTAGCATCTCACAAGAAACATTCAGTGCACTTTCTGTTAGAACACAATTTGGGGATATCTGTCACTTCCTTGGAAAGCTATGGTTGTGGATTATCACTAGAATGACACTTGGTTTTTCCCTGGCAGTCCACCCACTGTTTTAGTTGTCTGCTCTCTTTGACATTCTATCTGTTCTGCAGATGTGAAGATTTGAAATTACTTCATCTCTAGTATGTGTTGGGTTGCAGTCTTTTTTGTTTCTCTTTTGGAAATTCCTCTTCATCTACAAAGAATTCCAGATTCAGACATTATTCATCTTATGTCTGGAACACTAAAATCTCAAGAGCTTCCACATGTCTTACCTCTTTCTACCTTTGAATATTGAAAATGCTGCCATAGCTAAATCAGTTTTATTACTTGCTGTTTGCTTCCTTTCTGCACCTTAGTTATCATATAGCCTAATGTGCCTTAGTAGATAATTGAGTAAGTAAATTTGGTATATCTACGCAATGTATATGAGGTATATGATACAGATTTTTATTTTTATGGCAAGTAAAAAGAAGGTAATAAACTATAATTAAATCTCACTTTTGTTTAAAAATATAAAATAAATATTCACAAAAACTCCCATGTCTGTGTTATGTATATTTAAAGACAGAAAAGACATTTACAAAATGTTCACATTAATACTATCTCTAGGTGTGACCTTTGATTTTCTCTCTCTTTCTCTCATCAGGTATGTCTTATTTCTACAGTCATTACTGTTATATAAAGATTAAAAAATAAACAACTTTGATCTATCAAATCCAAGCTGTGTTGAAGGCAATTCCAGGCCCCTCCCCAGTTTTCTGGCATCCATGCCATCGTTTGGGATTTTTGTCCTGTTCCTAATTGTCCCATTCAAGCAAGTTTTCCTTTGACCCATGCCCTATTTTACTCCAGGATCCTGGTCATTTTGTAGAATTGCCCAGTTGCTCTGAAGAGCCTCTGCTCACTTGTACCAAAAGGATATAAAAATTATATTCTAAAAGTAGCTGTCACTAAATTGTGATTTCCATTGGGCCCAGGAGGAGGATAGATACCTATTGAATGACTTGATTTTTTTTTGTCTCATTTCTTTTATCCCATAAGCTCCTTACAAGTCAAGCTTTGCTTGTTTTCTATAATGCCCTTAACATTTTAGATAATTAATGTAAACAAATTAGTAGTCTTTTGTAAAATCTATAATTTACTTAATAAAAACAAATTTGAGATCTGTTGTTAGCTTCAACCAGAATTTGTGCCTATAGGGATGTAAAAAGCACAGGATTTAAAGATAAAAGACATTCATAATCCTGCTCACAGATTTGTGATCATGGCTTAGTCACTTAAGCCTCTGAGCCACGGGTGTCCAACCTCTGGCATCTCTGCTCCACACTGGAAGAAGAGTTGTCTTGAGCCACACGTTAAATACATTATGACACGTAATCACAAAAAACCCTCATAATGTTTTAAGTAAATGTATAATATTGTGTTGGGCCACATTCACAGCCATGCTGGGCTGCGTGCGGCCAGCAGGCCACAAGTTGGACACCCTTGTGAGCTGTCTTCATCTGTAGCCTCATAGATTCTTTTCTGGAATCTACAGAGGCCTTCTACCTACCTCGCTTTGGTCTTGCTTCCCCAACTCTGTCTGTGTTCTGCCTGCAGTGTAACGCTGACCTTGTCCCCTTCTGCCTCCACTGAACCACTCAGGACCTCTCTGATGCTACGTTGCCTCTGCCCCACCCCTGCAGCTGTAGCTTCCAGAGGTCTCTCTTCACACTTGAGACTAGAATAATACCAAACTCCGGGTAGCTCCTCACACATCCCGTGCTACCTCCTGCTTTGCTCTCTTTGTCCACAAGCCATTTCCCCTTTTTGCAGCTAGCTACTTATGCTGTACTCCAGGACTGGGCTCCGCAGTCTTCTGGAATGTTCTCCTTGATATAAAGGTTAGGTATTCTCTTCCTCTGCCTACTCACCTTGTAAGCTGCTTTGAAGCAAAATTATAGATTATCATTTCCTCACCTTGAAGAGTACCTGGTTTATAGTGGCACTCAAAAGTTTATTAAACTGCATTGTATATTCTTCTAACCTGTCCAAGTGATTTTTATATATGGAATGTAATTTGATTTATATATGATCTCCAAAATAAGAAAAAGAAAGGAAAATATATGAATTAAATTAAAATACTACCAGCAGACAACCACTGTTGATGTTTTGGTATATAAAATAATACATAAAATTTTTTAAATTATAAAATAGTGAAATTTTAATCCTCAAATTTTCCTTTCAGAGCCAGTACTCAGGGAAATCAGTAGCTTTGCAAATTACATGCATTAAAAATTAATAGGCAGTTCATTGTGCTTCCCACATCTACAAAATTGTTCTCTGGTAAAATGTAGCTTTTTTCTCATTCTAATCAAGAAAAAATTTTTTGCTTTTCTCATGTTCCCTAGACCCCAGAGCCATTTTTCATCCTGCTTTTCCAGAAGAGAGAGTGAAGTCCCAGTGAGGGGTGTGCCTTGACCAGCTTCCTCAGTTGGTGAGTGTGGAAGCTGAAGCTGGAATAGGAGCTCCTGACTGCCCACCTGGTGCTTTTCCCCTCAGCCACATTTCCTGTTTCTCCACTGGAGTAAAAATAAAAGTAAGTTTTCAGGCACTTCCTAATTTCCATAAGCTCAAATGAGGCCTGCTACCGAGATGTTCTTATTTTACTTTTAGCCTCATTAAGTGCTAGCCCTAACCCTAAAACATTAGTTGTTCTTTCATATTCATGTATGTAATTTCTTTGTGCATCAGAAAAGTCTTCCTTTTAAGAAGTTTCTTAATTTATTTTCTCAACTATTCTTGGAGTGAACACAACAAATAAAATACTTCAGGTCTCCTTTTTTTCCCTACAAGTAGTTCTATGGTATATGTTTTTGTATTCCTCTAAATTGTTCTCTTGGGATGTTTCCATACTGAGTCATCCACCAAAGAGTCCCTGAATTTTCCAGGCAAATATAGTAGTTTTATTATTTCTAAATGACTCATTACTTCTGAATCATCACACCTTGTGTACTCTGTTAAATAAAAAGCTTTTAGTCATTTTTCTACAATTTTTCCTCTTCCAAGTTTTTAAATTGTCCCATCTAACTAACATAGGTATTCATCTAGTTTTCTCTTGTGCCTACAAGATTTATGTTGATCATTTTCTTTTTGAACCCTTTTATCAATTGAGATAAGCAGTGGAAGCTCTTTACCTCAGGCTTTCTCCTCCAGATGTTTCCTGAAATAGAGCACATAAACAGCAACATAAAACATATATATACACCAATCTCTATTTTCCATCATTACACTTATGTTAAGGTTTTATTAATTTCCCAAATTTCTCCATGAAATTAAGGAGAAATACTTGCAAAAGAAAACTGTAGCTCTAATGTTTGGTGGTAAACAAAATCTTTGGAATTCAACGTGTTGGAAGAATGAAACACTTTGGTCCCTTGACTTCCGTGTCATATTTGGCTGGTTCTCTTCCTGCCCTTTGAAAATTAATTCTCTGTCTCCTTCCTGGCATCCTTCTCACCCCATACGTGCCAGCCTTTCTAAGAATTTTGTCCTTGGCCCTTTTCTTATTCTATGCATGTTCAGTCTTGTCCACTCTTGTAACTTTAAAAGTTTTATCTGATACTTATTCCAGACCTTTATTTTCAACTCCCATCACTTCAGTGCCACATATATCCATCTGCATGAGGGATATCTTCTTGAAGCCAGACTACCCCATGCCTGAAGCTGAATTTATCTCCCCTACATCTTTGTCCCCCAGTCTTAGCTAGCACACAATAATCAGACCCAGCCTTATCGTTACACCTCCCTAGAACCCATTTTTTAATTTTTAAAATTGATTATTAATATTATATATGAATTCTCATGTTTAAAGTCTCAGTACTTAAAAGGCTTGTAAAAAACATAAGTTTCCAAGTTTTTACTCTCAGCTAGGCTGCTCCTCAGAGCCACTGTCAGTGTTTTTTAGCTATCTTTTCCATTATTTATCTTCATAGTTATAAATACATACACATTGCAAATTCATCATTCAGAAATTTTATTTTTTATCTAATTGTTATTGTATTTTTTCTGTTATCATTTAGTTCCCTTATACCCTCTCTCCCCCACAATCACCACACTGTTGTCCATGTCAATGAGTCCTTTTTCCTCAGTTCCTCCCCCCCCTCCCCTCCCCCCTCCCAAGTTGTCATTCTGCTCTTCATCTATTTGGTCTGCCCCCATTTTCATTGTTAGTTTGTTCATTAGATTCTGCATGTGAGCGAAATCATACGGTATTTATCTTTCTCTGACTGGCTTATTTCATGTCACATAATGTACTCTAGCTAGATCAGTGGTTCCCCAACCCTTTTGGCACCAGGGACTGGTCTCGTGGAAGACCAATTTTCCAGGGACCAGGATGCAGGGGGATAATTCAAGCACATTACATTCAAACTCACCTCCTCTTGTGCAGCCTGGTTCCTAACAGGCCACAGACCCATACTAGCCTGCGGCCCGGAGGTTGGGGACTCCTGCTCTAGATCCATCCATACCGTCACAAAGGGTAAATTTTCTTCTTTTTTTATGGCCGAGTAGTATTCCATTGTGTAAATTTCCATAGTTGTTTTATCTTCTTATTTACTGATGGACACTTGGGCTTTTTCCATATCTTGGCGATTGTAAATAACATTGCAGTGGACATAGGGGTGCTCATATCCTTTGAAATTAGTGTTTGGGTCCCTTCAGATATATTCCCAGAAGTGGGGATCACTGGTTCAAAAGGCAGATCCATTTTTAATTTTTTGAGGTATCTTCATATTGCTTTCCGTAGTGGCTGCACCAAGCTGCATTCCTACCAACAGTGTGTAAGGGTTCTCCTTTCTCCACATCTTCACCAACATTTGTTTCTCAGTTTATTGATGATAGCTGTTCTGACAGGCGTGCGGTGATATCTCATTGTGGTTTTTATTTGCATTTCTCTGATGATTAGTGATGTTGAGCATCTTTGCATTTGTCTATTGGCTCTCTGTAAGTCCTTTTTGGAGAAGTGTTTATTCAGATCCTTTTCCCATTTTTAAGTTGGGTTGTTTGTTTTTTTGGTGTTGAGTTTTTTAAGTCCTTTATACATTTTGGATATTAACCCTTTATCAGATGTATTGGTGAATATTTTCTACCATTCTGTGGATTGTCTTCGTATTTTGTTGATGATTTCAGCTTCTGTGCAAAAACATTTTAGTTTGATATAGTCCCATTTTTTGTTGTTTTTTGTCGTCTCCCTTGCTGAGGGAGATATATCTGATAAAATATTGCTGCCTTTGTTTCCTTCTACAATTTTTATGGTTTCAGGTCTAACATTTAAGTCTTTGATCCATTTTGAATTTATGTGTGTGGTATAAGAACATGTCTAGTTTTATTTTTCTGTATGTGTCTGTCCCATTTTTCCAACACCATTTATTGAATAAGCTATCTTTAGCCCATTGTATGTGCTTGTTTTCTCTGTTGCATATTAATCAACTATAAAGGTGTAGGTTTATTTCTAGGCTCTCTGTTCTGTTCCATTGAGCTATACTTCTTTGTATGCCAATGCCATGCTGTTTTGATTACTGTGGCCGTATAGTATAGTGTAATATGTGGTTTTTATCCTTCATTTTGTTTAAATGGTGAATCACATTTATTGATTTGCAAATGTTGTACCAACCTTGCATTCCCAGAATAAATCCCATTTGTCCATGCTATCTTCAGGTTGCTACTATTCGTTGAGGATTTTAGCACCTATGTTCATCAAGGATGTTGGCCTATAATTTTCTTTCTTTGTAGTGTCTTTATCTGGTTTTGGAATTAAGATAATGCTGGCCTTGTAAAATGGGTTTGGGATCCTACTCTTGAGTTTTATGAAATAGTTTGAGGAGGAGAAGTGTGTGTTCTTCTTAGAAGGATTGGTAAAATTCACCAGTGTAGCCATCTGGTTCAAGGCTTTTGTTTTTGGGAGTTTTTTGGTTACTGTTTGTTTCACCAGGTGTAATCTGTCTGTTCAGATTCTCTGATTCTCCTGATTTATTTTTGGAAGCCTGTGTGTTTCTAGGTATTTATCCATTTCATCCAGATTGTCCCATTGGTTGGCATATAGTTGTTCATAATATTCTCTTATATCTTATAATCCTTTGTATTTTCTTTGGTGTCAGTTGTTATTTCTCCTCTTTCAGTTCTGACTTTATTTATACGTGTCCTGTCTTTTTTTTTTTTTTTTTTTTTGGATGAGTCTGGTTGAAGGTTTGTTAATATCATTTACTTTTTTTTTTTTTTTTTTTTTTTTTTAAGATTTCATTTATTTTGAGAGAACAGAAGGGAGGGAGAAAGAGAGAGAGAGAGACATAAGTGTGTGGCTGCCTCTCATGCACCCCCAACTGGGGACATGGCCCACAACCCAGGCATGTGCCCTGACTGGGAATCAAACCATCAAACCAGTGGCCCTTTGGTTAGCAGGCCAGCACTCAGTCCACTGAGCCACACCAGCCAGGGCAATGTTATTTATTTTTTCAAAGGAACAGCTCTTGGATTCATTGATCTTTTGCATCTTTTTCTTTTTTTTTTTAGACTAACTCATTTATTTCTGCTCTGAGCTTTATTATTTCCTTCCTTCTACACACTTTGGGCTTTGTTTGTTGTTCTCTTTCAAGTTCCTTTAAGTGTAAAGTTAGATTGTTTATTTGAGCTTTTTGTTGTTGTTGCTGTTCTTTGAGATAGGCCTGTAATGCTATGAATTTCCATCTTAGAATTATTTTCCCAGTGTCCCACAGATTTTGGATTGTTGTGTCCTCATTTTCACTTGTTTAAAGGTATCTTTGATTTCTTCCTTGATCTCATTGTTGACCCATTCATTGTTTAATAGCATGTTATTTGGCTTCCATATCTTTGCATGTTTTTCAGTGTTCTTGTGATTGACTTCCAGTTTCATAGCATTGTGGTAAAAAAAAAAGAAATCTTGATATGATTTCAATCTTCTTAAATTTATTGAGCCCTTTTTTGTATCCTAATGTGGTCTCTCCCAGAAAATGCTCCATGTACACTTGGAAAGTATGTATATTGTGCTACTTTAGCATGAAATATTCTGAAGATATCAATTAAATCCATTTGATCTAGTGTAGTGTGTCATTTAAGGCTATTGTCTCCTCGTTGATTTCATGTCTGAAAGATCATCCACTAAAGTCAGTAGAGCATTAAAATCCCCAACTGTGACTGTATTTCTGTCGTTCTCTCCCTTTATGTCCATCAAGATTTGCTTCACATATTTAAGTGCTCCTATCTTGGGAGCGTAAATGTTTACTAGGGTTATATCCTCCTGTTGTGTTGTTCCCGTTATTATTATGTAATGCCCTTCTTTGTCTCTTACTATAGCCTTGTTTTTAAAGTCTATTTTGTCAGATAGAAATACTGCTACCCCAGCTTTTTTTCCCCTTTTCTATTTGCATGATATATCAATTTCTATCCCTTCACTTTTAGTCTTTGTGTATCTATTTTTCCGAGATGTGTCTTTTGTAGGCAATATATATATATATGGGTCTTGTTTTCTTATACATTCAGCTACCCTATATCTCTTGGTTGGAGCATTTAAGCCATTTACACTTAAAGTGATTATTAATATACATATATAAGTTCCATTTTATTGTTAGACTGTTTTCCTTTTATTTTTTTCTTTCTTTTTCATTTTCTTCTTATTAAAGCAAGCCCTTTAACATTTGTTGCAGTATGGGTTTGGTATTAACAAACTCCTTTAGCTTTTTCTTTTCTGGGAAGCTTCTTATTTCTCATTCAGTTTTAAATGATAGCCTTGCTGGGTAAAGTAGCCTTGGTCGTAGGCCCTCGCTTTTCATCACCTTGAATATTTCGCACCACTTTTGGTCTGAAACGTTTCTGTTGAGTAATCACATGATAGATCAGAATTGGTGCTCTCTTGTAGTTAACTACTTGCTTTTTTTTTTGTGGTTTTTAGGACTCTCTCCTTGTCTTTAAGCCTTGTCATTTTAGTTATGATGTGTCTCAGTACAGTCCTCTTTCAGTCCAACTTGTTTGGGTCTCTCTGAGCTTCCTGGACTTGTGTGTCTTTTCCCTTTACCAGATTAGGGAAGTTTTCAGTCATTATTTCTTCAAGTACATTCTTGACCCCTTGCCTCACTCTCTCCTCCTTCTGGTATTACTATGATACAGATGTTTTTACGCTTCATGTGTTCCAAAATGTTTCTTAAGTTCTCCTAATCTTTTTCAAGTCTTTTTATCTTTTGCTGCTCTGCTTGGGTGTTTTTTTCTACCTTGTCTACCAAATCACTGATTTGCTCCTCTGCTTCATCTAACCTGCTGTTTATTCCTTCCAGTGTATTATTTATTTCAGATATTGCATTCTTTATTTCTTTTTTAAGTATATTTTATTGATTATGTTCTTAACAGTTCTAATTCTCCCTCTTTGACCCCCTCCGCTTGGTACCGCCCTACCCTCCAGCAATCCCCACCACATACTGTATGTCCATGGGTCATGCACATAAGTTCTTTGACTTCTCTATTTCTTAACATCCCCTTGTCTATTATGTAACTACCAATTATGCCTCTTAACCCCTGTACCTTTTCCCCATCCTCCCCCTTCCCTCTCCATGCTGATAACCCTCCATGTGATCTCCATTTCTGTGATTCTCTTCCTGTCCTGTCTGTTTGCTTAGTTGGTTTTGTTTTTTACATTCAGTTGTTGATAGTTGTGAGTTTGTTGTCATTTTACTGTTCGTAGTTTTGGTCATCTTCTTTTTCTTAAATGAGTCCCTTTAACATTTCATATAAGGGTTTGGTGATGATGAATTCCTTTAGCTTTACCTTGTCTGGGAAGCATCTTATCTGCCATTCTATTCTAAAACATAGCTTTGCTGGATAGAGTAATTTTGGTTGGAGGTCCTTGCTTTTCATCTCTTTGAATAATTCTTGCTAGTTCCGTCTTGCCTGCAAAGTTTCTTTTGAAAAACCAGATGACAGTCTTATGGGAACTCATTTGTAAGTAATTCTCTGCTTTTCTCTTACTGTTTTTAATATTCTCTCTTTATCTTTAACCTTTGACATTTTAATTCTGATGTGTCTTTGTGTGATCCTGTTCGGGTCCAACTTGTTTGGGACTCTGTGCTCCGTGGACTTGGATGTCTATTTCCTTTTCCAAAATAGGGAAGTTTTCTTTCATTATTTTTTCAAATAAGTTTTCAGTTTCTCTCCCTCTTCCCTTTCTGGCATACCTATGAATCAGATATTGGCATAACTGGAGATGTCCTAGAGTCTTCTTATATGCTTCTCATTTTTTGAATTCTTGTTTCTTCATTCTGTTCTGGACGAATGTTTATTTCTTCCTTCTGTTCCAAATCATTGGTTTGGATCCCATCTTCCTTCTCCTCACTGTTGGTTCCCTCTGTATTTTTCTTCATTTCACTTAGTGTAGCCTTCATTTCTTCCCTTAGGTTTTTCCTGTACTCAGTGAGTTCTTTGAGTTTCCTGATCACCAGTGTTTTGAAGTCTGCATCTGGTATGTTCGCTATCTCCATTTCGTTTAGTTCTTTTTCTGGGGTTTTACTCTGTTCTTTCATTTGTGCCATATTTTTTAGTCTCCTCAATTTGGCAGCCTCCCTGTATTTGTTTCCATGTATTAGGTAGAGTTGCTTTGACTCTCTGTCTTAACAAATCTGTTAAGTTATGTGGGCGGAACCTTAGGTATATGGGAGAGCAGGGCAGTCTGCTTCACTGCTTTGTGGTGCTGTGTTGCAGGGAGGTTTCAAAGTGGGGAAAATGCTGCTACCTGGCTTCTGGAGGTTTGCCCAGCACTCACCCTGTTGCCAGTCAGTTCACCCACTTCCCATATGCAACTGGCATCCTTCTAGTTGTTGCCCTGATGGTGATTCCCAGAGTGGGTGAGGTTGTGTATGTTCTGGGTCCATTCAGGCCCTTTAATGGACTCCCTTGAGTAACAGGCAATTTCTTCTGCTGCCCCAGTTCCCACTGGTTTTTATAGCCAGAAGTTATGAGTCTTTATCTTCCCGGCACTGGAACCCTGGGCTGCATAGTCTAGCCTTGGGCTAGGTTCACCTGTTCCCAAGGTACCCCTCCCAATTTTTATCCACCACATGTGAATGTGGGACCACCCATGCCACCGCTGCCTCTCCGCGTCACACCGCACCCTCTCCACCCCTGCTTCACAACCCCACCTCTCCTACCTGCCTGGACGAATATGGCTTTTTTAAATCCTCAGTTATCAGACTTCCATACAGTCAATTTTCTGGCAATTGTGGTGGCTTTTTTGTTTGGAGGTTAGTTGTGAGTCTTCTTGTGGTTGTGTGAGGAGGCAAAATGTGTCTACCTATGCCTCCATCTTGACCAGAAGTAGCATTCTTTATTTCTGACTGGTCCTTCTTTATGGTTTCTATGTTTTTTTTCATGCTCTTGGGTATGCTTAGAATCATTACTATAAACCCTCTGCCTGATAAATTGCTTGCCTCCATTTCATCTAGTGCTTCTTCTGGAGTATTCTCTTGTTCTTTCATTCGAGGTCTATTTCTTTCTCTTCCCAGTTTGGCTGCTTATTTGTACTTGTTTCTATGTATTAGGTAGATCTGCAGATTCTAGTATAGGCCTTTGTCAGACACTACTTGTGACTGGCCCTGGTCTACCTGTGTGGATCTGTGTTTCACAGTGGGTAGCTCCCTCTGCTGGCCCTATTTGTGTGCAGGAAGAAGCAGGCTGTGCACCAGGCTTAGGTTTTACCAATCCTGGGCATGGGGAGGGTCTGCTGAGGTCTAGTAGAGCTCCTAGAGATCTGCCTTAATTGTTGAACTAATCAGTCATATAGCCTCAAGTTGTAATCAGCAGCTTAAGCTCCACAGGGTGGGGCAGAGTAATTTTTGTGGGCATTGCCTCCCCTTATGCTGATGTCACTTGGAGGGGAGTGCTCTGCTTGAGAAAGATGGCTTCTGCAGTATGGGAAATGACTCAGCACAGGGAACCTGGTGGCTGTTCCTTCAGTTCTTTCCCCAGAGCCACCAACCCCAGACTCTCTTCAAGCATCTCTAGTCCATTCTGCCCTTCCTCTGCCAGAGCCCTGGGTAAGTGGCTTCAAATGAAATTTTGTGCTTTGGCCCTGTAAGAGGTTCTCTAAATCTCTAGCCATCTTTCCCTGGCAAACAGAAACCCTGCTGCTTTTCACAGCTGGATGTTATCTGGTTTCCTTTCTGGCTCTGGTGCTGTAGGCTACGGAGCCCAGCTTGAGGTTTAGACTGCACAATTCTCAGGGGAACCTTTTTGGCTGCTGAAATATTCCTCCGGAACTTCAGCTCTGTGCCATGAAAGCGCAGCTGGCCCTCTCACACCTCCTCCACACTCCCTACCAATCTCATTGTGGTGAAATGTTTTCTTCTGTCTTTCCCTGGTTGTAAGGCTTCTCTCCAGCTAGTGTTTGGTTGGTTACCCAGGATGATTTCTCTACAATTTAGTTGTAATTCCAGATTGGTCCTGAGAAGAGGTTAGTGCAGCTTCCTCTTACTCTTCCACCACCTTGGATCTCTTATTCATAAATTTTAAACACTAAGCCTTGCCTTCATGATACTAATTTCCATCCTCTCATCCCATTTCTAACACATTAACAAAATAAATAGTAAAAGGTATGTGATGTGATCATCTCAATAGATGCAGAGTAAGTTATTATTCTGACAAAATTAAACAACTGTATTAGATTTTTTAAAACTCCCAACAAACAAGAAATAGAAGAGAGCTTTCTCAATTTGATAAAAGGTGTCTACCAAAAAACCTACGGCTATCATTATACTTTATGGTGAAAGACTGAATGCTTTTACCCAAAAATCAGAGTACAAGACAGGAATTTTTGAACTCACTTCTTCTATTCACCTTTTTTTTTTTTTTTTTTTTTTTTTTGAGATCCTGGCCAGTGTAATGGGCAGTAACGCAGTAAATATTGGAAAGGAAAAAGTAAAACTATCTCTCTTCTCAAAGTGGTTGTCTATTTAAAGGATCCCAAAGTATTTACCAAAAAAATAAAATACTATACTTAATAAGTTAATTCAGCAAAGTAGTGAGCGACAAGTGCAATACACATAAATCAAGTGTGTTTCTAAACACCAGCAACAAACACAATGGAAAATGAAATTAAAATAACAGTACCATTTACATGAGCACCAGAAATCATAAACTGCTTGAGAATAAATTTAATTAAAGACCTAAAAATATTGCTGAGAAAAATGAAAGAGCATCTGAATAAATGAGTAAATGGAAACATATACTATGTACATGGATTGTGTACAGATTAGAGACTTAATATTGTTAAGATCCCCATTATCACCAAATGGAGATTTAAATTCATTTAAATTCCAATCAAAATCCCAGGATGGTATTGGTGTATATAAAGACAAAATTAGAGAATCTAGAAATAAACTCATTCATATGACCATTTGTTTTTCAACAAAGGTTTCAACATAACTCAATGGGCACAGTCTTTTAAACAAATAAATGGTGCTGGATGATCTTTAAACTCAGCCTTATAGCATTGATAAAAATTAAGATCATAGAGCTAAACATCAGAGTTAGAATTATAGAACTACCCACCCCCAAAAAAAAATTCCGTAAGAGAAAATCTTCATGACCTTGGCATACGCAAAGGTTTTTCAGGCAAGAGACAAAAGGATTAGGTATAAAAGAAAAATCAATTTATTTGGATTAATAGAAATTGGTAGGATTAAAACCTTCTACTACTAAGAAAATGGAAAGCCACAGACCAGAGAAAATACCTGTATCTAAAATATATAAATGAATTCTTAGAACTGGATAATCAAAGACAACCCAAAAATTTGAATAGGCACTTCACAGAAGATACATGTGAATTGCTAATAAGCCTGTCAAAAAATGTTCAACATGGTTAGTCATTAGGGATAGTACTTCACACCCACTAAAATGGCTAAAATTGAAGAAACTAACAAGTATCCAAAAGGATGTAGAGCCACTAGAGCTCTTAAGTGTTGATAAGAGAGTAAAATAGTAGAACCTTGGAAAACAGTTCTACAGGTTATTATAAAATTAAGTGTACACTTATGATAACTAGTAATACCACTGTTAATTACCCAAAAGAAATGAACACATATCCACAAATAGACATTTACTTGCCTATCCATAGCAGCTTTAATTAGTAATAGCCAGTACTAGAAACAGTGCAAATGTCTGTCGATTGGTGAATAGATAAGACAAATGTAAGTATATTTATGTAGCAGAATACCTACTAAGCAGTAAAAATAAATCTGAAGTTGATATATGCAGAAACATGGATGAATCTGAAAACCATTGTGCTGAATGACAGAGTTCTGACTGAAGAGTATGTATTATATGATTACATTCATATGAGATCTAGAACTGGAAAAACTATAGTGACAGGAATCAGATCAGTGATTGATAGATATTGTAGGTTAGGGAATTGATTGGGAAAGGTCAGAGGGATACTTTCAAGGTGATGTAGATGTTCTGTATTTTTTAGGGCAGTGGTTACTTGGTTCTTGTTAAATCTAATTGAACTGTACACTTAATATGTACATTTTTATGGTATGTAAGTTATACATCAATAAAGTCGACTTAAAATGAAAGTGAAGGTCTGAAAAGCTTAGAGGAAGCTGTCTGTGGGTAATATTTGTTAGTGGGCTTCACTATAAGACGATCATGTGGTCAGATGGAATTTCTAATCTCCAGAAAAGGATTCATTAAGCCATACTGGGGGCTAGGAGCTGGAGGTAATAAGCCTGGTTTCTTGTGACCTTGACCTTAGTAGGGGAAAGGGGGCTGATGGGCTTATTAATCAGAATGTAATACATGAAGAAGGTAACTATTTCAATTTTTAGTCCTTTACTACCCTTTGTGTGTGATGTCCTTGGGATTGGCACTTTTCTGGTTCATTTATTTTCAGCAGCAAACAAATTTCCTGCCTTCAGCATGGTGAAAGAGGGATAACTTTTTGAGTTTGCGAAGTGTAGGTCAGGAGGTCTATTTCCTTTGCAGAATTTCAAACAATCCCCCTATGTTCAATCTTCTGCCCCAGCCCATTTTCTGTGGTACTTGTTACCTCCAAACCCAGACCTTTTCTGGGATATGCAGAGTGAATTGGTTTGCTTGCCATCAGTACCCCTTCCTCCTCTACTCTGCTAAGTCATTTAGCATTCCTGCTTCTGTTTTCTGTCTTCATATATAGTGATTTGAAATTACAGCTATCTCCTAGGTTCTTTAAAGATGGAGTTTACATTCTTATTTTTTGTTTACTGTTTGGAGGAGACCTTAAAACTGTAAAATCCATACTGCACATTTTCAACTTCAGCAATACCAAACACAAGATCTTTTCATATCTCTGTGCCATCCCTCTTCACCCGGTAAGGCTCTTATCTTTCAAAATGCAGTCCTCTGCCTCCTAACTTTTCTTGTCCACTGCTTCTGTTCCTCTGTTTCACAACAAATCCACTTCATCAGAAATGGCAATGTAGCAATTTA